GGGTTTTGGGGTAACTTTGGACAATGCCTTCAATAAGAAGTTACTTGGATGAGGAGTGAAACGTCTTCAACATTACAGATCACGTCCAGTTGAGTGTGACCAACTACTACTAGCTATACCACGACCTTGAGACATGAGAACCTTCACAGGCAAGTCTAAATGTAGTAGCCAACCAGTTTGACTTGATCCAAAGGCATTTCTTATCCAAGTGGTTGATGGACTGAACTCCATAGACTACAACACGAAGTAGAGTACCATACCAAGAGGTGTATTGCCCTGGTCTAGTCTAAGCAATTGTTCTCAGATACCTTCAGCTGTCCATACGCGATAGTGAGAAGAATGTTGTGGGGACAAATCGATCCAATTGAAAATGTACTCTGCACGCCATTTATTATAAATAACAATTTCTGGTAATAGGATATAATAGGATTTAAATTCGGATTCGCTAAGCTAACAGTTATATTGAATAAATACACAAGTAGTATATTTCTGCCTTTCTCGCGTGTTCTTTGGTCTATGCAGACATCTGAGACTGTACAGAATGTTGTCCCTCCAATCACCTTCTCCTCTTATTGTTTTGTTGTAGCATCGGCTCAGGTATATAAATCTATAGCTTTCCGAAAGGTGAAAAGCAAGACTGAAGCATGTCACAGTGGGACTGGTAGCTATGTACAGAGGCAATTCATATTATTATTTGATCTTTACACGTGAAAGGCATAGATGACTATCCTAGAAAACTTTCCACCAGAGGAACTTGGTGAGTTAACAGTACTGCTCCCCATTCTGATGTGTACAGCCGCATTACTATTCGTTTCATACACCACCTTGACATTCAGCTCCTAAATCTTTTTTATTTTTTTTCCCCTAGTCGCACGTTAAGGCTGGCAGGCTAAGATTAAGAGAGTTATGGGAACAATAGCTTCCCTAACAAAAATCAATTTTAACAAATGTAACAGGTCTAGGCAAAATAAAACATATTTAGTACATTTGTCCACGTTTTCTTGTGTTTATCCCCTTAAAACCGCTGCAGGTACACAAAATAGCTGTTGATTTCGTCAGACGACCAAGGGCTCCTAACCTTTTGCAGTGAGCTGACAACACTTCCCCTGATGTGTTGAAGTCACAGGTGGTATTGTCAGCCCATCCCAACCCAGTCCAGCCCAACCCAACCAAGTCCAGCCCAACCAAGTCCAGCCCAACCCAACCAAGTCCAGCCCAACCCAACCCAGCTTTCATTTTGCACTACAGAATATGTCCTTTTATGGTGATGAGGAGAGATGGAGGTGTTCTGAAGTTGATCTCCAGAAGAGAACCGGGGAGCTGACAACACTGCCCCTGCTGTGATGAAATCACAAGTGGTATTGTCAGCCCAACTCAACCCAGCTTTCTGTTTGTACTACAGAATACCTCCTTTCATGGAGATGAGGATAGCTGGAGGTGTTCTGAAGTTGACCTCCAGAAGACAACCGGGGTGCTGACAACACAGCCCCTGCTGTGATGAAATCACAAGTGGTATTGTCAGCCCAACCCAACCAAGTCGAGCCTAGCCCAACCAAGTCCAGCCGAATCCAACCAAGCCCAGCCCAACCCAGCTTTCATTTTGCACTACAGAATATGTCCTTTTATGGAGATGAGGAGAAATGGAGGTGTTTTGAAGTTGATCTCCAGAAGGGAACCGCGGTTCTGACAACACTGCCCCTGCTGTGATGAAATCACAAGTGGTATTGTCAGCCCAACCCAACTCATCCAACCCAACCCCAACCCAACCCAGCTTTCTCTTTGAACTACAGAATACCTCCTTTTATGGAGATGAGGAAAGATTGAGGTGTTCTGAAGTTGAACTCCAGAAGAGAACCGGGAAGCTGACAACACTGCCTCTGCTGTGCTTAAATCACAAGCGGTGAACCAAGCCCAACCCAGCTTTCTTTTTGAACTATAGCATTGTCAGCTCAAAAAGGAAATTAGGAGCTCATTGTATTTGCGGCACATCAACAGGCATTTTTCAGCATTTTAAAAGGATAAAACAAGGGGAAATGCGCATGTATTGCAGAGATTTACTGAATATGTTTTTTTTTTTTCCTTTATTTTGCCCAGACATACACTCAAACCGTGCTTACACTCACTATTTGCTCATTAAAGACTTGATAGAACGAGAAAAAGTACTAACTGCCGTGGCCACCGTGGCAGACTGCTTGGCCAACTGTCCCACCACAGTGTTGCACTGCCCAACTGTCCGAGAGCTAGATTCCTCCGCTGCCCGGAGCAAGAAAGTGTAATTTCTCACCACTTCCTCTACTTTTGCCAGGAGCTCCTGACGCTGGCTTTCGGAACGGATCAAAAACACCAGTTTTACAAAAGTCTCGATCAGACTGCAGAGGACCTGAAAGCTGCAAGTCACTGCCGTCAGCATATGCTCCGGGTTCTTGTCCACGCCAGCCATTCTCCTGCAGGACGCGCGGAACTCCTTAAACCGCATGGTCAACTCTTGCTTGCGTTGGCTGAGGTGCGTGGAGTCCAGCTTGGGCTCCGAAGCCTCGGTGCTGACGACACATTGACGCAACACGGTAAGGAGTTCACTGGTATCACGCTGCACGGACATGAAGCCATCTGGGAGGGAATACGAACGTCCATGCAGAGCGTTCACCTTGGCCAGGCTGCCCTCAAACGTAGCCGTGCGAAGATCAATCTCTTGGGTCTGGTTATCTTCATGGGAGCTGCACACGCTAGCGTCTAGGACTTGAAGGGTCTGGCTTAACAGTGGGGTGGTCTCTGAATTCAGGCTTATCCCTGGAAGAATCTGCATGGGAATGGAGTATGATAACTCATCCCTGTCACTGCTCTCATCAGCCGATGAGCACCGTCGACAGTTGAAGCAGTGGCGGATGGAGCAGCATTTCTCCCCCGGCATTACGTTTTCCTCTGCGGGCAATTTAGATTGAACTGCAAATACTTCTTCTTCCACCGGTAGGGTAACTAATGTCTTTCTTTCCTCCTTGTTCCCCTTCAAATCTGGCATTTTGCTTCTTAATACGGGAGGCTCCACCTCTTTCTTTTGTGGTTTAGCAGGGGGCGGGTTGCAGGGCACTTCTTTTTTTTTCACTTCCCCGGCACTATGTTTTTGTGGCAGGTTTGCGCATTGAACCGAGCTTTCCCCTCGCGTAGGGCCACTTGTAAGACATGAAGTCATCTTCTCGGATCCCCGTGACTCCAGACTGGAGGAACGCACAAGTCGAATTCCCGGTTGACCTTCCCCCCGCGCTCTTGGCCTCTTCCTTGGTTCAGGCTCTTCAGAACTGTTGGGTGGGGCATGGATACCTCTTATCATGCGCTTACAATCACAACTGCGTCTTTGCTCACGAGACATCCCTGGCACTTTTTGCAGAGGACTGCTACGCACCTGGCACGAGCAAGGTCTGGGCACCAGCGGGTAAAGAATTTCTTGACGCGGCATGCCTATTTTGCCCTGCGGTCGAAGCAGCTCTTCAAGGAACTCCATCTCGTACTGCTTAACTTTGCGCAGCTGCGCTTGTCTTTCGTCAGTTTCGCGCCTCATTCTTGTGGGAAACGTGGCCGAAAACAGTTTTCGTAACTTTAAAGGTCCTCGGGTCCTAGGTTTAGCACATTCGTCCAGCTCGACTGGAGCAGGCACTTTTTCGGGCATTGTTGAGGCTACCGCTTTATCTGTTTCAGATTTGACCTTTTGTTTGGCATTGTCTGTAGTATACAAGAACATGTTTGGAACTGACGGAATGTGTTCTTTTTTGTCATCTTTCTCAGCGTCTTCCTGCTTTCTTTTACCAACGTTCTTCAAAGCTACATCATCGATATGAGGCTTGGTTAGCTCTTTTTTATCTATCCTCTTGTGGCCTATGTGTTTTTCTTCGTGGCTTATGGCTGAGCAAGCTTTAGCATGCAGTCTCTCATCGTCTGTTGGGGACAGATGAAGAACTTCATGACCTCCATTTCCGGATTCATCCAAGTTGACCGTAGAGGGCTCTCCTTGTGATAGTCGGCACCCACATGGGCTATCTAAGGATTTTTTATTTTCTTTCTCACCACCCCTATCATTCAGTAAGGCCGGTGAGTTGCTCAGGACTATCGGGCTTGCCGATAAAAAACCTGTCTCAGAAGAGTCTTCTGTTGGATCTGTAGCAGTGTTGGAACTTTTTCTTGACAAATCCTGGGAAGGTTCCTGGAGAGTGGTAGAACTCATGTCTTCTTTAGGTTTTACAGGAGATGTAAGTATGGACACACCATTATTTAAGTTAAATTTGGGGCTTGAAGAAACAGCTACTGGCTCTTGTTGTAGCCTGGTCCCCGTCAAGCTTTGTTGCAACAGAGCAGGTTTAAGTAAGGGGCTGGTTTCTCTGCCCAAAGAGTAAGGAGAGGCAAGGACAGCCTGAGCGGCACAGGTCTGTATTCGAAACGGAAGGTCCTTCCGGGATAGAAGACTTTCCTTGTTGAGGTGGTGGGCCAGGAAGTAGGCAGTATTGTGATGTTGCTTTAAGGCGGTAACCATTTCTGACACATCGGTTAGCTCTGAAGAGTTAGTTTCATGACCAGAATCCAGGGATGAATCCGGAGTGATAGCAGCAAGGACAATGAGGCCTGCAAAATAGAAAGACATTTACACCCTTTGTTATGTTAAACAGACTGGCACGATATTTACAGTACATGTATAGAGCAACTTTTTTGGATAAAGTTGTTAACAGTACCAGTTAGACAATTGCAGTTTTTGGGGTTTTTTTTTGCTGACTGTCAGATTTACCCATGGTGACCATTGTCACTGAGACAGAAAGTGAGGGGAAAATCCAAAAAGTCTGAGTTGTCACTCAAGAGTAAGAGTTGTGGGAACATCTTCCAATGGGGATACCTATTCCTGTGACAACTCTAAAAGATGGGAATTCCATTCACTTTGAAGAACATTCATCCCATCTCCAGGACAGGAAGTTAAGGGAAATCTCCCCAGTGCGATCCAGCAAAAAATAACTAAGGGGGTTATTCTCTAAGGAGCCGAAGGATCCAGCCGTAGCTTCGGCTGATCCTTCGCTTCGGCCGCCTCTGCCCTTCGGTTCAGTCGAACCGAGGGGCTGCTGTACGGGATATTCACAATAGCCCGTACAGCAGCCAAGCGACTCAGCCGTGCCGAAAGCATATGCTGAGCCATAGTGACAGCCGTGGGGCCGACCTTTCTCCACGCAAATGACAGCTCAACTTCAAGCTGCCACCAGAACAGGAACAGTGGGCGAATCTTCCAATGGGGTAAGTGTTCTGATGGGTGCTGCCCCTCTGGTCTGGCCAGAGGGATCGGGGAGCGCAGAGGCCCCCTGGGGGTGGAGTCCCAGATCATCACTTAGGAGTGGGACCCCACAGTGATTCACTGTCACTCGGTCACGGTACTCTTGCAATTTCTGCACTACGTCTCTAGGGCAGGCCTTATGGCTAACCCGGGGCAATTTTTTACTCCTGCCAGGGTTGTGCACTGGCACTTATTTATTTTACGCGCTACTTTTTATGCACGTTTGAGTACCTTTTGACCCCAGAGAGACGGAGGGCGTGGGTACCTTCAGGGCCCGCCCTGAATTTTGGAGGAAGGCTCTGTGGCCTCTATGGGTTTTTCTGGCATCCTCCACTATTAGGGGGTTTCTCTTCAATAGGTTGGACTTGATGGACTTACTGTATGTCTTTATTCAACCTCAAATACTATGTAACTATGTAAGAGCCCCCACCTAGTACTCGGGGGACCCGTTTCAGAGGGTCCCTGAGGAGAGGGGACTGCCGGCCTTCGGGTAGGTGGACCTGGGTCGTCCTTGCCCCCAGGGGGGTTCAGGGTATTTCGAGGCCCTTCCCCTTTGGAGGAGGACCACTGCACCCTCGTGCACTTTTTTTTTAGTGTGTTGTGATTTCACGATTCACTTTTTTTTGTTCACAGGGGTGATCGAGTCTTCGATGCACGCATCACGGACCTTAAAAACTGTCTAAGAGGATATTTTCTTTTTTTTTTCTTTACGTCTACAGGATAGGAAGTGAAGGTGATTCTCCTCAATGAGAGACAGGTGACAACAACCCCCCCCCCTAACATTAATCATTCCCTACTGTATCCAAAATGAAAAAATAAAGTTTTAGCCTTAGTTACACTTTAATGTATTTCAACCTACCTGCTGTGGACTGAGGTGCAGTGCTGGGATAATCCTCAGAAGCAGCAAGAGCCTCCAGAGCTTGAAGCGTGGAAACTAGAGCATCATCCAGCTCCCTCGCATGATCCCTGACTGTCCTTGTCTGCACGCTGTCAATTAAGGTGACTGGTAACTCTTCGTAGCCAAATACCGGGTTCACATTTGCTTTTTTCTGTTCCCTGCCCTTTTCGTGGCCCTTTTCAATGATGCGCTTTGGGTCCTCCTCATCTGAACTGTTGTCTCCGAATCCCGGGGGTGGGGGTGCAGCAGAAGGCAAAAAGGTTGCAGCCTCACCTACATCTCGATCAACTGCCAAGCCCTTCCCTTTACGTTTACCCTCTCCTTCCTCCTTCACTTTCTTGTTTTCTGGAGGTGGCAAGGATATGAGGTCTACTGAATTGTCCCTACAGGTGGATGACCCACATGAATTCACACACTTCACATCCATCCCACCTCCCCCAGACTTCTTCAGTTTGGCTTTGCAGGAGTCACAGTAGAATTGGGTGCTCTCCACTTTCACCTGGCTGTCCATAGTGAAGGAACGGGACCTGCAGACTTCGGGCGGATCCGGTGCCCCTTTTGATCCAGGTTGGACGGATGACCCCTTGGGTGTGGGGTCAGACTTTGTTCGAGGTCTGGCCTCCTCTGAGACAACATTCTGGTTGACATCTCTTCCCTCCTTGCCCCGTAGATGGAGGTAGCACAGACTGATAGACTCCGGGTTCTCTGGTGGGGTGTGGGGTTCATGAGCTGATCCCTTTTTGGCGAAGTCGGCGGATGAGCTGTGGGAAGTTGGTGCCTTAGCAGAAGCTGACATGCGTGGCACTGTGGGCAGACTGATGTAATCTACAAGAAAAAAATAGATTTGTGAAATGATTGCCAATTTTAATCATTTTTCTACAATTTTAAAAGTCAATGTGGAAGAATACGTCAAAACATTTTTGTAACACAAGTTTGTAAGGAGTCTTCTGAGATGGCATTCTAGCATGGTGCAGTCCCAGGTTTTGGTCTCATGGTGAACATTATAAGACTGACAATCAGATAAATGTGGGACTAGTACATATTTTTATTATTATGTCTAGTACAGATTGCTATTTTCGTGGTTCCTCTTCCTCAAAAGAGATCTTGTGTCCCCGTGAGGCCCATGTCACACTAACAAGGGTAAGAAAACCCACTAAAAACCATACTGCTCCTTACCGTTCCAACCAGACTCCTTACTGTTCCAGATAGCAA